TTTTGTTCTTATAATAACATTTCCTTTTTTTTAAAAGAATCATTTGATTCCAAAGTCCTTAGACAAAGGGTTGGTCTGTGCTCACATTGCTAAGGCAACTGGTTGGTATTTTATTCTCAAGCCTCCCCGGAAAGGGGATGAAGAGGCTTGGGGGGCTATTTTGGGGGGATAGGGATTCCAAGTGACCCTTCCCTGAATATTTTGTATAAATCACTTGGCAGCGATACCTATCCAAGGCAGAGGACTCTGTGCCTTGGAGTAGTTTTAACCTAAGTTGGTAGAAGATAAGCTTAGAGGTTCGTTCATGCAGCCCCCACCATCTGGACTCGAAGTGCCAGAGTGGGGAATTTTAGCCTTGAGAGGGACCTAATAAAAGATTTTGTCATACTGCTCTTCCTAATCTTTGTGAGATGTATGTACAGATGATACTTAAGAAGGTGTGTGTATGTATTGAAAATATGATTTAGAAACTGTGTCCCAGGCAGAGCGGACAGACAAGTTTCTTCCAGACAGGAGATAAGATGTAAATTCAGCATTGTAAGTCAATACAATGGGAGCCTCAGCTGAATACGGAGTAAACAGGAATATTTGAAGAAACCTTGCAGCCAGCAACTAGGTGAGTCATGTGGATTCTGAGGACAAAAATGATAGATTCTGGGGTCTAAGAGAAAGACAAGTAAGCCATTTTGTTATTCATCACAGCACTTTTTGCATCCATGAATGGTGGATCCTAGCCATGTGGGTTGGTGATTCTGGGAAAGACTGTTTTAGGCGAGAAACTACTTTAGACAAGGATTTTAGTCTCTTCGAGTTAAATTTAGCCTCTAATAAGCATGTTATACTTTTGTTTTATGTGTAACCATGTCTGTTTACATTATCTTTACTCTATCTCTTAAAACGTAATCTTTGTCAATACACGTACGATTGTTTTCACTATAATTATACCGCAGTACACTGATTTTATAAATGACTTGATCCTGAGCAGTATACTAATCAAGCTGAACCTGGTAGTTACTGGGAGTGTCCAGTGGACAGGGGCTGGACACTACAGGGGGATGCTTCAGAGGAGCTTGGGGCCTGGGATGCCCCTAGTGTTAACCTGCAAGGCAAAGCCAGGGCTGGCAGATTGTTTGGGGGGGGTGACATGCTGGTGGTGCCAGGGAGCTGACACCAGCTTAGCACTCTCTCACTGAAACAGGAGGTAACATGGTGACTCACAGTCTTGGGAACCCCCAAGAAAGTGTCACGTTACTTATGCACCCCGGACAAGAGAAGATGAAGTGTCTGACATTTAACATTTTCAAAGACATTAAATGAAAAGGATGAGCACTCATGAGACCTTTAACAGTAGCTGTCTTTGGTGCAAATACTTTCATATTATTTATCAGTCATAATTTATTTAACCAATTTTTATTTTATGTACTTATTAATTATTGGTGACCACTGTGTGTTGTTTGGATAGTAACTGACCTGCTATATAAACTGTCGACTCCTTTTCTTGGTTGAGGAGGGCATTCCTGATATGACAGGACAGGCTCTGGTTAGAAGTCTCTGTTATAATGATAGAACTCTGTGTCTCAAACAGGCCATTAGCCCCTCGGGGTTTTGTTTCTGACAGTGATGTTAAAGGCTGTCCACTGGGATCTCTCCACAGCACCTCAGGCTCTGGGTACCACCCAGCTGATCGACACACCATTCGAATCCCTCCATCCTGATAACCCTCAACAGAGATGAGAGGAGCAGAGCCCAGACCTGAAGGAAAGCGGGATAAACTGCTTAAATTCTCGATGCTAACTTATATGAATATTCAGTATAAAATAGAAGTACTTAAATCTCTAATAAAAGGAATGAATGGATTTCTCCTCTGAATTCCTAGTACTCATCATCCAGGAAACTATGGCCCAGCTCCAGCAAAAAACTTAACCACATTCTTAATTTTCTTTTCAAACATATCTTCCAGTGAGATGCCCCTCATTCCCATTTCACTTCAGTTTGATCTTAAGCCCCATGAACTTTGAGTTCTGTGAAATCCAGGGGCCACCTCTCTGCCCGTGCTTCTTATCACAACACTTCAGATCTCTTGAACTTCAGTTCTGATGTCTTTGCCTGGGTGGTTGAGGAAGGATGTTCTCTGAGAAGGACTCTCAAGTAAGGAACTAACTTAAGAGCACGTTGAAGTGTTTGCTTTGAAACTTTTTCTGGGGAGGGTGTGGGAGGTCCATGAAAACTGGAAAACTCTGAAGGAAAGATGTCACTTAAAATGAAAACTCTTATTTGTGTAGAAATGTTTCTGGGAGCACAGTCCCATTTCTTAGCCAGCTCTAACTACCCCCATTTCCTTGGCCTTGTAGACCCTTAATTTGATGAATTTTGGAGAGTGTTGCAAAGCCCATCTATTCTCTCAACATGATTTTTTATGGGATGTGTTGAATGAGGCTGGGTGGAAGGAAGCGGGAGGGGTTCGATTCATTGTGCTGGGAAGATTTTCTGTTGACAATCACTCAACTTGAAGAGCAAAAAGAGTTTAGGCATCTGCTGACTATTGTGCTGTACTCAGATTACACCCTCCCACCCCACCCCACCCCCACCCCCAATGCAAAACAAACAAGCAAAACAATGTTGAGAGAAGCAGACTGGAGCAAGATGCCTCCTTTTCATTGAATAATTTATTAGCTGTCTTAGTGTTCAACAGTGGTTGGGATTTGAAAGTGGGTGCATGTGGAAAACACTGAAGTAAATCTAATGGGCCAGATGAAGGATCTGAAGGGAGAAGGAATTATTGTGTATGCACCTTCAACAAGGGGGATGGGGGTGGATCCATCTGTTTCAATATGGGTTGGTTCCTTTCCTGTCTCTGGGATTCCTACTATGGGACCAACAGCAGCTTTATCATATATGACTACATGGCCACCTGGGAAGTTGTAACCTTTTAACTCTCAAGAGGTCTGGGGTGAGGAGACGGGGGGACAACCTGAAATGCAGAGAGACACGTGTTGAAGATGTCAAACAATTTTTCAGGGCTGCTGGGAGTCTAAATAATATTGTAACGATAATATAAAAATCGGGGGGGGGGGGGAGGGAATGTTATATTAAAAAGACACACCAGCCCAAGCTACTGACCTGCTACTTTCAGTTCCAACAGAGATTCTTCATGAAAAGCACTTGATCGAAAAAAGCACCTGTACTGTCCTTCATCAGAGGGTCTGACATGGCGTATTCTCAAGGCAACGCTTCCATTGGCAATGTCATCTCTCAGAAATTCTGTCCTTCCATGATATTCTGGCATCTGCCTTTCATTCTGATTGTCCCCATCACGATAAAGGTGCACAAGTGAATAGAACTGGGACCGGTACCATCTCACCTCCATGTTCTCAGCGCTTACCCTGGGGCTGAGATGACAGGGTAACACAATGTCCTCACCTGCAGTGGCCGTGACAGGATGCTCAGGTCCAATCACTTTAAATTGAGCTGTGAAATGTAGCAAAGAGACAAAGAAAATAAATATTTAAAAAATGAACTTTTGATTAAAATGTAATCATTACAAGCAATGTGTTATATTTCATTACAGCTGGTCTAATACTACTCACCTCAGCTATGATGAGGAAATAATACATTGTTTTGCTAACATTAAAATAAATTCTTAAAACTGTTGCAGCCATGGACAATCCAGGACCCCCATATTTGGAGCAGAGACATGAAATTTGGCAGGCAGATAGCTCTGGGAATCAGAGAGGTGACTCTTCTTGTTCCTATGAAAATCCACCCATGTTTGGCCAAGTTATCCTTCTCTGAAAACCACCATTTGTGCATGTGCAATAGATATGATTGGTTTATTTCTCGTTTGGGTCTGTGCGTCTGGCGGAGGGAGGTGGGGGGAGGTTGACTGTTAGGATCTCCAAAAATTCCATCTTCTTTGAGCATGCTCCAACCTCACTGTCTTTTCACGGCACGGACTGTGCTCTGACATCAAGGCCCTTCCATCTACTCTGAAAGTGATCCCAGGCTCCACTGTGTGCTATTGGACATGACTGTATCAAGATGCACATGCACAAGGGGTCTGAATTCTAGCATTTCCTAACTTTGGAGTGCTTGACTTTACAACCTTAACATTCTTTTCAGGTAATTTTGTGTATGCAATTGTAGGGGGAGTGGGCAGTGACTGCTCTATTTTGGTTGCTTAACACACTTTGTTCTTCATTTTCTGGATGTCAAACTTCAGAAGTGCTGAGCATTCAGAGCTTCAATGGAAGTGTCTCCTCAGTCATTACAGTAGTAAGGAGTTTAGGCATTAAAAGATGCTGAGTTTCAATCCTGTCTCAGATTGTGAGTCACTGTGGGGTGTTGCACTTTACTTTTCAGTTTCCCCATCTGAAAAATACCTACCCAACTACTTCCCTTGAGTGTTACAGAGATTAATTAGCTGTCCATAGAGTGCTCAGAACATATAAAAACGTGACCTACTCTGAAAGAAATGACACCTCAGCTGTCTCACATTGGGGCCTACATTTAATGGTGACCTTTGCAAATTTTGTCCTTAATCACTCCATGCCTCAGTTTCTCACCCCCAAAATAGTAATAAAGAATAACACAGAACACTCCCGTTTACTCAAATGGCCCGAGGGACATCTGAAACTTTTGAATGAGCAGGTGTTCAGATAAAGGGAAGTGCTATTTTGAACTGTGCTGTTGGGCTCCCTGATGAGAGAGGAGACCTGGCTAGAGATGCCACTGCAGATAGCACTCGTGTAACACGAATGAGACTCACTGCTGTAAATTGTTCTCCTTGTTATCTGAACCCCCAGTGTTTACAGAGGGGGACACACTGTAGATTTTCAGATAAAGGGAATTCAGATAAAGGGCAGTGTCCTCTACTCTGCTATCTCACACCGGAAATGAGAAGATCAAACATTCATGTTTGTGAGGCACTCAGGATACTTCAGTGATGAATGCCCTAGAAAAGTCCACAAGGTCATTCATTTCTTATTCAGTGCAATGAGCACCATCCATCCTGTCCCCTGAATACATGAGGAAGGGGACTGACGGGAAAGTAATATGTGACTGTGTATATACAAGGGAGCTGAATTAATGTTGCACCTGCAATCTTAAATCTGGCATTTCCTAACTTCTGAGTTTTAGACTTTGCACCCTAAATATATATTACACCCCCAAACAAAACAAAACAAAAAACCCTCCTTTTAACAGAACAATAACATTGCAACCCTTACTTCAAAGTGCCAATGACAGAGCTCTCCACTTTTCCCCAGATGTAGCTATCTGAGGATTTATACTGGCACTGATACCACAGCCTCTGTGCACTTTCAGCTGATCATTGATGCTTGGTAACATGCTCCTTTTCACCATAACGCTGGCAGTCTCAGTATCCCTACATGCTGAACCTATCTTGCCTTCCTCCTCGCCTCTGCCCAAAATCCCATTGATCAATGTAGTATTTCAGGCATCCCCTTAGGAATAGAGAAAATGTCTGCATTATTCCATCCTGCTTTAAATTTTGACAAACTCATATCTTTTGTACAGAAATTTGGTAAATCAGGAACAGAGCTGTCAGGATTTGTGGGGTGGGGAAGAGTAACTATTTGTGTAACATTGTTTAACACGCTTGCTAAGAAACCTCAATGCCAGAGGTATGTGGACAGGCTCCAGTGCCTTTAGCTAATGGTTCCAAGGCCATATTGAATAGAAGAGGCGGATGCTTGACACACGCCTCGATTCAGAGTGAATGGCTTGGAGATCAGCCTATTGGTAACATTCAGGGCTATAGATTAGGGGATATGTATAGCCATAGCCAGTAGTGAGCTGGAGCCGGTTCCCACCGGTTCTTGGGAACTGGTTATTAAATTTAGAAGCCCTTTTAGAACCGGTGGTCCCGTTCTAAAAGGGCTTTTAAATTTAACAAAATCTCTGGCAGCTCCCTGCCCTGCCCCCGGCCTCAGCTCACCTAGCTCCGCCTCCTCCCCTCCCCTGCTTCCCACGAGAAGCAGGGCTTCCTGCAGGTGAGCTGGGGCGGGGCGCGAGGCGGGAACCAGGCGCCGTGCGGCCTAGCCCGGCTCCGTCCCGGCCCCAGCCCTGGCCCCGACTCCGACTCTGGCCATGCGGCACTGCCTGGCTCCGGCCCAGGCCCGACCCCGGACCCAACTCTGGCCGCGCGGCGCTGCCCGACCCCGGGCCCCGGCCGCACAGCTCCAGGCCGGGCCCTGACTCCGGCCACGTGGCGCGACTCCGGCCCAGCCCCGGCGGGGGCAAGAGGCCGGGGCTGGAGGAGATTTGATAAGGAGGGGACAGGGTGGGAGGGGTTGGATGGGGCAGAAGTTCTTGGGGGGTGGTCAGGGGATGGGGAAGGGGGGGTTGGGTAGGCGCCGCGTGGGAGTTCTGGGGGTCTGTCGGGGTGGTGGTGGATGGGGTCGGGGCAGTCAGGGGACAGGGAGCAGGGCAAGTTGGATAGGGGGTGAGGTCCTGGGGGGCAGTTAGGGTTGGGGGGTCTCGGGAAGGAGTGGTCAGGGGACAAGGAGTGGGGGGGGTTATGGGTTGCGGTTTCTGAGGGGGGCAGTCGGGGCAGGACATGGGTGGGGGGTGTACTCACCGGGCGGTTCCCTACCGGGTCTTCGGCGGCCAGACACCAGAGCCGTGCCGCCGAAGACCCGGTAGGGAACCGGTTCCTAAGATTTTGGCAGCTCATCACTGGCCATAGCGTGACGGGTTGGATCACAGAACCCCCCTTGGGAGCTGCCACCTGATGTACCAAGACTACTTCTGCCCCTGCTTTCCTGCCCTGGCAGCCCAGGAATCCAGTGCCCTGCCTGGTTTGAGCCAGACCCGCTAGCCTGCTGCAAACCCAGACCCAGGTCTGAATTGTGTCCCCAAACAGCTGCAGGCTTACCTGAAAGCAGCTAACAGAAGTGTTCTTGTCTTTAACACGCAGATGCCCAACTCCCAATGGGGTCTAAACCCAAATAAATCCGTTTTACCCTGTAGAAAGCTTATGCAGGGTAAACTCATAAATTGTTCGCCCGCTGTAACATTGATAGAGAGAGATGCACAGCTGTTTGCCCCCCCGGTATTAATACATACTCTGGGTTAATTAATAAGTAAAAAGTGATTTTATTAAATACAGAAAGTAGGATTTAAGTGGTTCCAAGTAGTAACAGACAGAACAAAGTAAGTTACCAAGCAAAATAAAATAAAATACGCAAATCTATGTCTAATCAAACTGAATACAGATAATCTCACCCTCAGAGATGCTTCAGTAAGTTTTTTCTCAGACTGGACACCTTCCAGGCCTGGGCACAATTCTTTCCCCTGGTACAGCTCTTGTTTCAGCTCAGGTGGTAGCTAGGGGATTCTTCATGATGGCTCCTCTCTCCCCTTTGTTCTGTCCCACCCCTTTATATATATCTTTTGCATAAGGCGGGAACCCTTTGTCCCTCTCTGGGATCCCACCCCTCCTTCTCAATGGAAAGACACCAGGTTAAAGATGGATTCCAGTACCAGGTGACATGATCACATGTCACTGTAAGACCCCAAACCCTCATTCCTCCCAGCCTGACTCACAGCCCAGACCTAACTATTCCCCTCGATTTTGGGAAAGGACAAACTGAATCAAGAATGACTGAGTTTAGATGGCGTGGGAAGATTTCTTTTCCAAATACTAGAGCAGTTTGCAGTTATAGTTTGTGTTTGGTTATGTATAAATTTAATTGTATATGTTCCTAAAGGTTGGAATTGACACATATCCATATGCTAAAGATATTATATCTAATCTATCTATCAAAAGAGCAGAAAGCACACTGACGCGGTGGGAATTTCTTACCTGAGTCCACTTTGTGAAGGGACAGAATAATGAAGAACATGATGTAGCCAGGCAGAGAGGAGCATCTTACAGGGCCATGAGGGAAGGAGGAAACCGTCATTTTCCTTATAACTATATCAGGACAGCAAGAGAGAAAAATGAGCATAATGGAGAGATTGTGGCAAGAGAAAAACTAGAGAGTGGAGTATGAAGAATAGATGAATACTTTAGGCAAAAATTCTGTACTTTTTCATGATCTTTTGCTATTTTTTGACCAGTTTACAAGAGCTAATCATTTTTTTCCCAATGAAATCTCAGCAAAAAGTGTATTGACCAACTCTAAAAGGACTTGGCCTCTTAAAGAGTACAGCAGTAAGTAACTGTGATTTGATCACCATTGTAAGATTTTACAAAAAAGCTGTCTATAAACTGACAATCTTATTGCCTCACCTCGTCTTTAAAGCTGTGTAAATAACTGATTCTTCAGTTTGGTGGTAGCTCCAGTAATAATAATAGTCATATTTATTTTATTTTTTTAAAGTTAAAAAAATTCAGGTTGACTCAAAATCTTTTTTTTAAATAAATTTCAGCAAATCAAGAAGTAAATCTGTATAACATTTCACATTTCATTTGACCCAGAATCATATAATAGAATCATAGAAATGTAGGGCTAGATGGCCCCCCAGAAAGCCACGAGTTCATCATTCCAGGCTGAGACAGGATTAAGTATATTTGAAATGAAACATTTAATTTCCTTTGTTTTTTAAAGCTTTGTAATTTAAAAAAATAAAATAAAATTGAAGTAAAATTCTAAATGAAGTCATTTCAAATACAAAATTGAAGCATTTAATTTCAAAAATACTGAAATGAAACTTTTAATTTTTTCTGATTTTTTTTATTTTGTTTTTCTTTTTACCAAAACAATTCAGTGAAATCAACACAAAGTAACTCTGAGCGCTTCCCATCGAGTGTCCCATCACCAGCCAGTTGCAGTTCAGCTACGTGCCATTGTGGGCAATCTCATCATACCATCTCCACCATACATGGAGCAAGCTCAGTCTTGGAGTCAGTTAGGTTTTTTGCCCTCACTACTCCCTTTGGAAGACTGCTCCAGAACTTCATTCCTCTGATGGTTAGAAACGTTCCTCTTATTTTAAACCTAAACTTGTTGATGGTCAATTTACATCCATTTGTTCTTGTGTCCACACTGGCACTTAACTTAAATGACTCCTCTCCCTTCCTGGTATTTATCCCTCTGGTGTATTTAGGGTGACCAGATGTCCTGATATTATCGGGACAGTCCCAATTTTAGGGGACTTGTCCTGCATCCTGACCTTACATTGGTCGGGACGTCTGGTCACCCTGCATGAGGGGGACTGCGGCAAGCCGGCGCTGCCGGCGCCACTCACCTTCCTTCCCTGGGCCCTGGGGCAGCGCGCAGCTGAGCTCCCGGCGTGGCGGTGTCAGCCCACGGGGCCCGCCACCCGGCTGGCAGGAGCCTGCAGAGCACAGCTCTGCCCCTGCCCCGGCACACAGAGAGGCAGCGAGGAGGTCTCGCTCCCCTGCATGCTGCAGCAGGGCGGGGCCTGTAGACTCGGGCAGAGAGACCCCCTGCCCCTGCCCCCCTCGACCCGACCCAACCGTAGGAAGGAGCCAGAGGGACTGGGAGGGACCTGCCTGCTGGATGCTTCCTGGGAGCCGCTCCAGGTAAGCACTGCTGGGCTCACCTGGCCCCCTGGCAGGTCCCTCTGGGGGGGCTCCCCTCAGCCCCACTGCCCTCAACCCCCACCCTGACCCTGTTCCCTCAGCCTCCCCCGCAGTCCCCTCTCGTGCCCCCACTCTCAACTCCACTGCCCTCAGCCCCCCTTGACCCTGTTCCCTCAGCCTCCCCCGCAGTCCCTCCCCTCCCCCCAATCATCTCACCCTGCATGGATGTGGAAATCTGTCCCGGATTCCAGGCTGTCGTTAGCCCCTGGGGCAAAAGATCAACAGAGGTTTCCAAAGGGAAGTTTGCAGCCTTTGACCAGACCCAAACATTTTCACTTAAAAAAATAAATAAATAAATACCCAAACCCATGCTGACACCCATCTGCTCTGTCCAGATTTGCTGTTATCCCTGTTGAGGCCAAAGTGGTTTGAAAAATTAAAAATCCTTGACACCATTGTGTTCCTTCCCCCTGTGTTGCTCGTTAATCTGATGGGCCTGCCGATAATGAATGAAAATGAATGCCCTGGGAGCAATGTGTCAAGCAGACAGTTTGTGAAGTAGGAATGTGAATGCTGAAGCCCTCACAAAATGCAGAGGCTTTTCTTAACCTGAGCACTGAAAAAGAGCCAGATACCCGGCATGGGTCTGAAAGTGACAAGAGCCTAGCGACTGACCAGAGCAGCATCAGGTTTGATGTGTCGAGGAGGGTCTGTGTCATGAAGTCTGCATTTCCACTGAGGACTCTTCCATCGCCAGGGGAGCGCTGGTGCAGGTCTGCCGCCCGGCACAGCAATGCTGAGAGGTGCCAGTGTAGACCCAATCCACTGCCCTCACCCTGACCCTGTTCCCTCAGCCTCCCCTGCAGTCCCCTCTGTATCTCCCACCCCAAACCCACTGCCCTCGGTCCCCGCCCTGACCCTGTTCCCTCAGCCTCCCCCGCAGTCCCCCCTGTACCTCCCACCCCAAACCCACTGCCCTCAGCCCCCGCCCTGACCCTGTTCCCTCAGCCTCCCCTGCAGTCCCCTCTGTATCTCCCACCCCAAACCCACTGCCCTCAGTCCCTGCCCTACCCCAAATCTCTTCAGCCTCTCCCGTCATCCCACCCCCATCGCTCCCCCTGCTGTCCCACCCCCTCAACTTCCCCCCCATTCCAGTCCTGCTCCCCTCCGTCTCATCCCCTCCAGACCCTGTCCCTCTCCCCACCCCGTCCCACTCTACACAGCTCTCTACCCTGTCCCATTCATGCTCTCCTCAGCCCCTACCCTGCTCCCCCCCCATCCCAGTCCTGTCCCATCCCCTTCAGCCCCCCTGACTCTCCCAGTCCTGTCCCCCTCAGTTCCTCCACCCTGCTTCCCCTGGTCCATCCCCACACACCCACCGACTTCCTCGACTTCCCTCCCCCCCAATCCCACTGCCTGGACCCACCCCCGTGCCACTCAGGACATGCAGGAAAAAGAAGCAATGGGCTTAAATTGTAGCAAGGGAGATTTAAGTTAGACATAAGGAAAAACATCCTAACTGTAGAGGTAGTTAAGCACTGGACAAATTACCTGGAGAGGTTATGGAATAGCAGTCACTGGAGTTTTTTAAGAGGTTAGACAAACACCTGTCAAGGATGGTCTAGTGTTGTTATTACTCAGTCCTGCCTCAGTGCAGGGGTTTGACTAGATGACCAGTTGATGTCCCTTCCAGTCCTACATTTCTGTGATTCACACTGAATTGCCTTGTGCCCATGTCTAGTAGTAGTGGCACACAGTTCTCTGACATGCAGGTTTATAACATTGTAGTTAATATACAGTTTAGAGCATAGCAGTTTTAAAGCTCTGCATGTTCAGACCAACTGAGCTGAAAATTGTGATCTATAGTATTCAAAACTATTAAGATGTGGGCTGAAATAAAATCAGCCTGAATTGCTCAACAATGTCAATGGAATCAGCATTGCGCTGCTCTATATTGTAAAACATTACAGTGAAATCTTGCAAGTATTACATAACACGCTGCCTTGCCCAAGTGGTAACTAAGCAGAACATCTTCCTGTTTCAACATTCTTAACTTGTATCCCAGAGCTCCTAAAAGTTGTTTTTTTTCAAACATTGAATGCTGTTAAGTTATGAGTTTTAACAGGTTTTTCTTCTTTTAAATCACAGCACTGAATGTTATTCTAAAATTGTTTTCCAAATATTCTTAAACTCCCAGTTTATCCCCCGCTGATGTTCATTGTGAAAAGTATTGCAGGTCTAATAATAATATTTGGCACTTTTGTAATTCACTGTCCAACACGTGTTTTGTGCCCTCCTATTCACTACTGAGATACCAACTCCTTGCCTCCAATTGGCCAATGATGCCAGCCTCCGTCACCCACCTGTTACATTTTCACACAAGAACCTTTGCTGCCACACTTAAGAGAAATTCCCATGAATATCCATAAAGCTGCCTCATTGTCCTCTTCTAAATCCCTCCTTAAAATGCTCCTTTTCCATGATGCCTACAAAAAAACTTGACAGCAGTTAAGCTGTTGGCATGCTCACCCAATTGCCAGTCATGCTGACTAACACTGTTTTATTGTTTCCTTGTACTTCCCCATCTAGGGTGACCAGACGTCCCGATATGTGCTTTGTGCCCGTCTCTGGTGGATTTTTAGAGGATAACTGTATAGCTACCAGCTAAGGGAGTTATATCTTGAACTCAAGTAGTAGAAGCTCATGCTTTTAAGTCTGGATGGCTCGGGTTCAATCTTTGGTGACTAGCTATGATGGAGGTTGCTACACTTATCATTCCTTTAATCAGAGGTCCTGAATATGCTTTGTTGTAGGCAGAGCTAGCCTATAGTTAAGCAACCGAAAATTTAGAATGGGAAGTGTTGAAACGTTGGGAAGCCTTATAATTTTGCCAGTCTGGAACGAACATCCCATTTGAGCGATGGGGCCGGGGAGAGGAGAGTGAGATAGGACCAGGAAACTGGGACAAGCAATCCAGAGCGGTAGCGGGGGGGCAGTTGAAATCAGATGAGGAGTTGGGGTGGGTTAGACAGTAATAGGATAGACATAGACTGGAGGGGACGGGGAAGAAGGGTCTTTGACTACTAGAGACCACTCCATTCAGGAGCCTGGGATAGACCCAGGATTCCTGAGTTTCACAGTTCCTCTTCTGTCAGCAGATATCTGTGAAACCCAGTGGCAAAAAAAAGTGTCTCATCCCCCTATAGAGCTGATCTATCACATACAGGATGACAACCTACTGCCACCGCCATCACTTACTCCATTAGCTGAAGTAGCAGAAGTCTGTGCAGTGGATCTAAAGGTTCATCAGCAGGATTGGAGCCATGCGAGTTTCACGATGATTCCACATGTCAGAATTTCTGGGGCAGTTCAGTTTTGATTTTTACAAAAAAAACCTGGGGAAATGCCTACAGAAATAGGGTGACCAGATACCTAAATAGGGGAATCTCAAGCAGGAGCAGAGAGGTTATTTTATCTCTGTATTTGGCACTGGTGCAACCACTGCTGGAATCCTGTGTCCAGTTCTGGGGTGCACAATTTAAGCAGGATATTGATAAATTGGAGAGTGTTCAGAGAAGAGTCACAAGACTGATTTAAAGGATTATAAAACATGCCTTATAATGATCGACTCAAGGACCTCAATCTATTTAGCTTAACAAAAAGAAGGTTAAGAAGTGACTTGGTTATAGACTGTAAGTATCTACATGGGGAACAAAGAGTTAATAATGGGCACTTCAGTCTAGCAGAGAAAGGTAGAGCGTGAGCCAACGGTTGGAAGTTGCAGCTAGACAAATTCAGACTGGATATAAGGCATACCTTTTCAATGGTGAGAGTAATTAACAATTAACAATATACTAAGGGTCATGGTGTTTTTCTAAAAGCTTTCTCTAAAAGCTATCCTCTAGGAATTATTTTGGGAAAGTTCTATGTCTGTGCTATACAGGCGGTCAGACCAGGTGATCACCGGATCCCTTCTGGCTTTATAATCTCAGAACTAGGTACATCAATTCACATGCAAAATTCTCATTGAATTCAATAGGTGTCCTTGCCCTGTGGCTTGTGGTGCAGGCTGCAGCAGGGGCCGTACAAGCCCTCTCGCAGCTTCCTAGAGCCCCCCTCTCATGGCTCTGTGCACCTGTGTCTGTCATTGTCGTCCTCTCCCCTCCCCCATCCCGCTCGCCCAATGTGTCCTGATATTTCACTCTTGCGATCTGGTTACCCTAGGTGTATTTATAGAGAGCAATCCTCTCTCCCCTCAGCCTTCTTTTAGTTAGTTAGGCTGAACAAGCCAAACTCTTTGGGTCTCCTTTCATAAGACAGGTTTTCCATTCCTCGGATCATCCTAGTAGCTCCTCTCTACCTGTTCCAGTTTGAATTCATCCTTCTTAAACATGGGAGACCAGAACTGTACACAGTATTCCAGATGAGGTCGCACTGGTGCCTTGTATAACGGTACTAACACTTCCCTGTCTCTACTGGAAGTACCTCACCGGATGTACCCCAGGATCATGTTAGCGTTTTTCACAGCCGCATCACATTGGTGGCTCATAGTCATCCTGTGATCAACCAATACACCCAGGTCTTTTTCTTCCACTGTTACTTCCAACTGATGTCTCCCCAGCTTATAGGAAAAAATTCTTGTTGTTAGTCCCTAAATGCATGACCTTTCACTTTGCACTATTAAATATCATTCTATTTCTATTATTTCAGTTTACAAAGTTGTCCAGATCATCTTAATTATATTCTGGTCCTCTTCCATATTGGCAATGCCTGCCAACTTGTTTGTATTATCAGCAAATTTTATTAGCACATTCCCACTTTTTGTGCCAAGGTCATTAACGAAAACGTTAAATAAGTTTGGTCCCAATACTGATCCCTGAGGAACTCCATTAGTAACCTCCCTCCAGCCTGACAGTTCACCTTTCAGGATCACCCGTTGTAGTCTCCCCTTTAACCAGTTCCTTATCCATCTTTCAATTTTCAAATTGATCCCCAACTTCTCCAATTTAACTAATAATTTCCCATGTGGAACAGTATCAAATGCCTTACTGAAATTCAGGTAGATTAGATCTATTGCATTTCCTTTGTCTAGAAAATCAGTTATTATCTCAAAGAAGGAGATCAGGTTGGTCTGGTACAATCTACATTTTGTAAAACCATGTTGTATTTTATCCCAATTGCCATTTGCCTCTATGTCCTTAAATACTTCCTCTTTCAACATTTGTTCCAAGACCTTGCCTACAGCTGAGGTCAAACTTACAGGCCTGTAATTTCCTGGATCACTTTTTTCCCCTTTCTAAAAAATAGGAACTATATTAGAAATCCTCCAGCCATTGGGTACAACTCCCTAGTTTGCAAATTCATTAAAAATCCTTGCTATTGGGCTTGCAATTTCATGTGCCAGTTCCTTTAATTCCCTTCACACCCAAGCTAGCTAGATTATAATTAGCTTGGCTATGTCTATGTGAGCTGCAGTCAGACCCTGTGATTGCAGTATAGACATACCCTTTGTCTTCACTATAAAAAGTTTGAGCAATTAAACAATATAACCAAAATTTATTTTTCAATAATAAACTGACATGGAGTTATGTCTCCCTTCTCTTTCTCTCTCCTCTGTCATTTGGGTTTCTTCCATTTGCTGAAGTTTAAGTGCTTTGTATATTCTTACCATGATCCATTTCCTGGGGCCTTTTCTGAAATTTACATTTTCTGTATCTTTCAGTGAGTTTCAAAATTGTTCAGACCTTGATTTGTGAGTGTAACATGATATTTTGCTTCCAGATACTGGAGAACTGGCCATGTTTCTTCTGACATAGCTTGTCTATTTTGTAGTTTGTTAAACATACAAGTCTGACAATTCATGAGCCAGTGTTTGGAATGTGTAAAAACACATTTTCAACAGGGTCATGGGAGTGACTCCTCTAGGGACATTAGCATATTTCAGAATCTTCTCACAGATACAACAGAGGGTCCTGTGGCACCTTTAGACTAACAGAAGTATTGGGAGCATAAGCTTTCGTGGGTAAGAACCTCACTTCTTCAGATGCCATCTCCCAATACTTCTGTTAGTCTTAAAGGTGCCATAGGCCTCTCTGTTGCCTTTTTACAGATTCAGAATAACACGGCTACCCCTCTGATACTTCTCACAAATAGGCAATGCGGTTCTAAATCCACATCTTCCTATTTTCTTAGCAATTTACATCTTCACAGAACTGAAAAAAATCGATTGCTACCATTCCCTGTTGCAGCAGGTGAGTGAATGTTAATAACCCGCTTTTGGCAGGCACAGAAACAAGACACAAAGAACTCGATCCTTCACTGACTCAAGACAGTGGTGAAACCCTCATTGACATCAGTGCAGGCAGGGTCAGGCCCAAGAGCGGGGGCAGGGAGGAGAGTTATTTCTTGAATATTTTTATTTTTTTATTATTTATTATTATAAAGAAATTTATTTCACCATGTGACTCTCCAGCCTATGCAGCTGAAGAGGAGGATTTTGGGGAGGGGGAATCCTCCTCCATCATGGGGCTGGGTCCTAGGAATCCAGCATGGCCTAACTCTCACAGTCAGTTCTCCACCCTAATTTGGGACCGAGGCGCACCCTGTGGTGGAGAGATCCCTCTTTCCCTTCCCCATGCACCCCACGGGGTGCTGAAGCAATGTTGCTCAGGGCTCTGTGCTGACCCTTTACATCACAGATAGCTTTCTCACACAAGAAGGATGTGGCTTCCCCCTAGTGACAACACCTGGTCCCCTGATTACACCTGAATTGTAAAGAGACAGGACCTCCCAGTGGTATAGCCAGGGTCTAAGTGTAGGGGAAGCAAACATAAAAAAGACACCCCCCCTTGGCTCCTCCCATTTCCCTCCCCCAGATTAACCCTGGGGCCCGGCTCAGGACTCCTGTGGGCTTCCCGGGGGTGCGGATACCCCCGTCCCCCTACGGTCCGGGAGAGTATCTCCTGCCCAGCCCACTCTGCAGGTGTCCCCCGCCGGGCTTCGCTGCCCGGCCCCACCCGCAGGGTCCCGTCCCCCCCACCCCGGGCTCCAGGCTCCTGCGCCACGCCAGGGCCCCCCGTCCAGACAGCGCAGCCTGCACCCCTGCCCTGCGGGCCTGGCCCTGGGGAGCCCTTCGCCCGGAGGGGACCCCCCAGTGCAAGGCACCGGACCCCCGCCGCTCACCTTCCGTCCTGCGCCGCAGCCTGTCCCCGGCCGATCCCGGCCCCGCGCTGCGGGTGGATCCCAGCTTCGGCTCCGGCTTGGGCGGGGAGCGCTTGGCCGCTGAGCCCTGAGCCGCCGCTGGAGATGGCTGTGCCTGCAGCGAAGTTGGGGCCGCGTGGGGCGCGATGGCCGAGGAGCCGGCCCCCTCGCTCCTCCATCCGTGCTGCCCCCAGCGCCGGCCCGGCAGGCCCACTTTTGGGAAATGTGCTGAGGGGAAGTGGCTGCTTCCCCGGCACCCCACTAGCTATGCTACTGGGACCACCATTCACTACAGTGGCAGAGCTGAAGCTAATTATCAGATATTCCTGGCCCCTTCTGCCGCTACTTAGAGCTGGAACCTGCTGCTGCCTGAATTACAGCAATAAATACATGTAAATACAGCTAAGATAGGGTTACCATACGTCCGGATTT